GAAGAAGAAGAAGAAGAAGAAGAAGAAGAAGAAGAAGAAGAAGAAGAAGAAGAAGAAGAAAATAATTTCTTTATGAGTCTTAGCTCCAGAGAAGCTTTGTTTACATAACACCAGAGAAAACTCCATCCGGTACCCACTCTCTCTTAAAGACAAACAGATAACCAAGGGTTCTGAGGCAAATTAAGAAATCCAGGAAAGCAAGAAGCCCAAATAAACAAACAGAACAAATGAACCCACAGCAAGTTGGGAATTTGAATAACAAAAGAGATCTTCAGGAGAAAAATGATAATTGTCAATGACTCAAGAAAATGGCACATATGAAACAAAGACAAGATACTAAGAAACAAGAACAATCAGAGAAAAGAAAGACACCTCAGAAATGGAAAAGACGTTGCTGGAAATAAAAATGTCGACAGAGATTGGGAAATAATAGAGGAAATCTCTCAGAATATAGGATGAAACAACAAAATAAATACCAAAGAAAAATATAAAAGATACAGATCAACATAGCAGACTCAACAGTTAGAAAAAGGAGTTACTGAAAGAAAAATAATAAAGTATTTTTGTGTGTTCTTTGTTTTGGTATATTTCTCATATTGATTTCCCTTTTAAAAGCTAGTTTGTTTTGATTTTTGTGGTTTTTTTGTTTTTTTTTTTTTTACTTCTTTTTTGAGAAAAGACAGACACAGAGAGGGGGAGAACAGGAAGTTCAGTGGGTAGTCAGGTGAGGAAGATCAGTCTGGGAGGAGTTTGGGGAAGGGAAAGAATATGATAAAAAATATTGTATGAAAAAAGTTTTTGTTCTTTTAATGTATCAGGAACTGGGCATAAAGGTGCATATCTACCATTCCAGCACTGGGAAGGCTGGAGCAGGAGGATTGCTGCAACTCAATCTACATAGTGAGTGTCAAGCTAGCCATAGTTAGTTTGTGAGACCTTGTCTCCAAAAAACGAAATAAAAATGTATTAGAAGTGAATATCCTACAGCTAAAGAAGGTCTCTAGAGCAGGCACTGGAAGCATGGATCCAGACAACTGATTCCACCTTAGTCACTGCAGCAGGCCTGCACTAGTTCTCTTCCATGCCATCACCCCTTCTTCTGTCCTCCATCAGAACATTTTCAGGTCCCTTTGAAATTAATCAACACTCTTCCTTTTTTCTATTAAATGGAATCCACCATGATTCATGTACAGATCCTTATGTGAGAGGAGCTAGTGAGGCAAGCCCACAGTCCATTACTTCTCTCCCCTTCTCCTTCTACTCTTCTAGCGACCCTGGACTTTGTGTTCTTTCAAAATGCCAGGGACGGAAAAAGATGCCATGGGTAGGTTTTTGCATTGACCTTTTTGCTTGGAAGATCTTTCCAGACATCCACTTAGCTCTCTCACCTTATGCAAGTATTTGTTCACATTCTGCCATTTCAGTGAACTACATCTGGACCAATCTATTTAAAAACTGAACTAACCTCTTTCCTTCACTAGCATTCTCTCTCTTTTATCCTGTTCTCTAGTTCCTCCACGTCTTCCTGCCCCTGTTTCTATGCGACAAGAGTTTTTCTATGTAACTCAGACTGGCCTCAAACTCTAGATCTTCCTTCCCTAGGCTTCTGAAAGCTGGGATTAAGGAATCCATCATTACCTCTAGCATTTGTTATCTCCATGCACTTTATTTAAGTTGTAACAGATTTTATTTCTTGATCCGATCATTTCCTCTCTTCTCCTTACTAGAATTGGCTCCATGTGAAACAGACATTGCTTTTTGTTGCCTCTGCTGTTATGCCTTCAGCTCCCATCACAACATCCAGTAACTAGCAGACTCTCAATAAATATTTGTTGAAAAAGTGGATATCATAAAGGCATATAATTTATAGAAAAACAAAACCTGTTACAAAGTTTGTATATTTGCAAGAAAGTAGTGGTCCAAATGTAAAACAATGTAAGACATTGATGGTACAAAAATATCTTCTTTAAGAGGCGAAGGTTTGTGACATTGGACTTGTAAAGAAGGAAGTAGATTCTTGGCTCACTTGGCTTAGCTGGATTTTCGGGAAAATATTTACACAGTCAAAACAATGTAAATAATGTTTATTGGTTTTTAGGCTTAAGAGCTACCCTGAAAAGACAAAGAGAGGAAGACCTCGTTAATACTTCAGAACAGAACATAAATGTCAAAAATATTTATAATGTAAAAGAGAAGATCAAAGAGATAATGTGGGGCATTGATGGGCAGTGTGCAGCTAATAGCTTTGTCTTTTATTTTATTATCATGTATTACTGTTGATTCACTTTGTATCCCAGCTCTGGCCCCTCCCTCCTCTCCTCCCAGCCCCACCCTCCCTTCCTCTTCTCCCCCTATGCCCCTCCCCTAATCCACTGATAGGAGAGGTCCTCCTCCCCTTCTGTCTGAACTGAAACTATCAGGTCTCATCAGCACTGGCTGCATTGTCTTTCTCTGTGGCCTGACATGGTTGCAACCCCCAGGGGGGAGGTGATCAAAGAGACTGCCACTGAGTTCATGCCAGAGACAGCCCCTGCTCCCTTTATTAGGGAACCCACTTGGAGTATGAGTCTAGGGGTTGCACCTGAGCCAGGGTTTTAGGTCTTCTCCATGCATGGTCCTTGGTTGGGGTATTAGTATCTGCAGGGGCCCCTGGACTCACTTTTGGCTGTTTGTCTCCTTTTGGAGCTCCTGTCCCCTCCAGGTCTTTCTGTCTCTCCCTTCTTTCATAAGATTCCCTGCACTCTGGCCAAAGTTTAGCTATGAGTCACAGCCTTTGCTTCCATACCTCAAATAGAAGTCTTTCAAATAACAGCCTTCTGTGCTGTTCCCTGTCTTCTCCTTCACGTTTGTGCTTCTGAGTGAGGATTGAGCATCTTCCCTAGGTTCTTCCTTGTTGTTTAGCTTCTTTAGGAGTATAGATTTTAGTATGTTTATACTACATTATATGGCTAATATCTTCTTATGAGTGAATATATACCATGTGTGTGTCTTTCTGTTTCTGGGTTACC